AAGAATCTGGGATTTATAATTTTATGATGTACCAGCACTCTTTGGCAGAGAAGGTGAAACTACAAATCCCAGGATGCCATAGAATGAACCTACAACACTTAAAGTGGTGTTAGACTGCTTTATTTCTACAGTGTATATGCACTTCCTGAAAATGGACTATCCTGCTTCTGCTTTAAACATCCCTCGGTGGAAGATGAGTTCCCTCCTCTATTGTGGTCCAAAACACACTGCAGAAATAATCCAGTTTGAGACTACTTTAACTGTTCTGGCTCACTGCTAGGTGATCGTGAGAATTGTAGTTTATTGTGGCACCAGAGCTTTCTGACAGAAAGCTAAATGTCTCACAAAACTACAGTTCCCAGAATTCCCTAGTACTGATCCAGGGCAGTTAAACTGGATTATTTCTGCAGTGTGTTTTGGTCTACTTTAAGATGCCTGCTAACCATGTACAACCAGTACTATGTCGTGTTCCCTGGATACAGGTAATTTATGACATAGAACAAGTACTAACCAGTTGTAGCAAAAGCAGCAAAAAAACATCTTGCAATTCCTTAAAACTAACATTGGTTAAAAGCTTTTCAGCCAAGAGGCTTCTGGTTTCTGGCTAGGTGAGGTCTCTACTCTTAAATGAAGGACAGAGGAATGTAGACCCCTTGTGCATCGCAGCTGAGCCAACTTGATTCTTTTGACACCATAAAGGCTAACAGTTTTGCAGACTTGAGCCATCCAAGTGTTGTGGACCTGAGCCTTTTTCATTTGGGTCTCACGAGAGAGGCCCTTGACTCCGAAAGCCTATGTAATAATAAGCCATTTAGTCAGTTGCTAGGGTAGCAGGGCAGTTTGTTGTATATGAGGCTGTATAAATTACCATACTAGACTTGCTCCTCATATCTATTGTTTTTAAAAAATTGTACAGATTGGGTGAAACCAGAGTTGGCAAAAATAAATTGGAAGTAACTGGTTCCTCTGCATGGGGATCATCATAATTGAAAAGGATGGCTGTTTAGACAGTGCCACCCAAAAGAAGTGGTCTGTGTGGGCCAGTACTGGTTTGTGAGCCATCAGCTGAACGTTTCTAAAAGAAGGAAACAGGTTAACCAACAGTTACAAATATGGCATGTGGAGACCAGAGTTCAAATCCCTACTTGGCCATGGAAACCCATTGAGTGATCTTGGGCAAGTCACACTCTGGGTCTCAAAGAAAGGCAAAGGCAAGTCCTTTCTGAACAAATCTTGCCAAGAAAACCCTGTGATGGGTTCATCTTAGAATCATGATAAGTTGGAAGTGATCTGAAGACACACAGCAACAGTACAAATATGATACCAGTTCCTAGCATATTAGCAGGAAGGGAAGGGAAGGGAAGAAAGAAGAAAAGCATGTCCCCCATATCAGATAGTTGAAACCAGTCCTTTTAAGGCAATTTCCCCACAATAAATACAAGAACTCTTCCTTGCATTATGTGATATTTGATGAGAGAACATCTGATAAAATAGTTTGCTACTGTGGCTAAGGCAAATAGTTCCTGCTCTTTTTAAAATAACTTATGTGCCTCCATTTCTGAATATTTTACAAATAAGCATCTTATTGTTTTCTGTCATGAACTGTTCACTGCGTTTTGCATTTTGCTGCAGTCCCAAACTATCCTTATTTGCTTTCAGTTCCTGAATTACAGACTTCTCAATTTCTTTCTTGGTTGATTTGCCCTCGTATGTTTTATGTTAGATTTGGTAACATCTTTTAGGATAATTTACCAAAAATGAAGAATATACATTATGTCTTATGGGACTACATATATTCTGATAAAAGCAGTATGCGGAAGGGGAAGATTGAGGATTGTTAACTGCTGGGTAGGGAACATAAGGGAAAGCTGTTATAGCATGGTGGTTGAGTTGCAAAATCCCTGCTTCGAAAGTTGCCTCTTTTATGAAAGCATTAAAAGCTTCAGGGACTTACTGTAAAGTTACTGCCATAATTTTGGCTTAATATTACCTTTGTTGTTGTTGTGTGCCTTCAGGTTGTTTCTGACTTATGGTAACCCTAAGGTGAACCTGCCATTGGGTTTTCTTGGTAAGATTTGTTCAGAGGAGGTTTGCCATTGCCTTCCTCTGAGGCTGAGAGCATGCGATTTGGCCAAGGTCACCCATTGGGTTTCATGGCCAAGCTGGGAACCAAACCTTGGTCTCCAGCGTTGTAATCCAAAACTCAAACTACTATGCTACATTGGTTCTTAGTTTTGCTTATTCAGATTATATGGATTTAGACAGTTTATTTTTTTATTTGTGCTCTATTTTTATATTTATAGGAATCCCTATCTTTCTCTGTTTGTATTTCTTTTTTGCATTACGTTGAATTGGACAGTGTGCCTTTCACTGCTTTGTTTTTGATGTCCATTTAATGGCGCAATAATAATAATAAATAATAATCATACAAGTCCTTGAACATTATAAATTACTACATAAATCCTAAGTACTGTTAAAAGTGGAAGCCTATGATGTCCACTCAGAATTAAATCCCAAAAGATTAAATGTGGGTAGGGGTGGTTCTGTGCTTTCAGGTTGGATTGGGTTTATGGCAATCCTATGATAGTTTTCTTGACAAGATTTGTCCAAAGGAGGTTTGCCTCGAGGGTGAGGCAGTATGACTTTACCAAAATCAGACAGTGAGGTCTATGGCTGAGCAGGGATTTGAGATTAGTACTGTAAATTGCTTTTTATATCTA